TAAATAAATAAATAAATAAATAATACATGTAAAAAGAAACAGCAACTTTATCATCAGAAACAGTGCAAACATGAGGACAGTGAAGAAATATTTTTGAATATTGAAAGAAAAAATGTTTATATAGTTGAATATGAAATGTCCCCACAGGGTTATATTTGAACAGCTGGTGCCCAGCTCATGGTGCTGTGCTGTTTTGGAAGATTTTTGTTAATTAACATTTGAATTTGTTTTCTGTATTAAATACCATAACTTATCAAGCCTGCACCTAGTACTAACACCCTTCTGTCATTGACTTCAAGTTTATCCCTGGCTAAAATCTGAAAAGCCAGAAATGTCGTAAATTAGTACTGCATATAAACATTTTTATATATGATTGATTGATTTTTGTCTATTTTTAAAAAATAATTTTATTTATTATTTTTATTTTATGTATATGAGTGTATTGCCTGCATGTATGTGAGTGCACCTGTGTCATGCAATGCCATGGAGGTCAGAAGAGGGCTTCGGATTCTCCTGGAACTGGAGTTAAGGATAGTTCGTAGCCACCACATGGGTGCTGGGAATCGAACCTGGGTCCTCTGAAAGAGCAGTCAGTGCTCTAAACCGCTGAGTCATCTCTCTAGCCCCTTGTCTATTTATTTTTATTTTTTGAGACAGGGTTTCCCTATAGTCCTAGCTGGTCTGAAACTTACTATATAGACCAGGCTGACCTTGATCTCACAGAGATCTGTTTACCTCTGCCTCCCCAGTGCTGGGATTAAAGGTGTGAGCCACCACACCTAGTCTATATATGATTTTAAAATATTTACTTATTATGTGTATGTTTGTGTGCCTGAGTGTACGAATGTGCATCATATGGCTGCAGATACCTGAGGAGGCCATAAGAGGGTGTTGGATCCCCTGGAACTGGAATCACTAGTGGTTGTAAGCTACTTGACATGGGTGCTGGAAGCTGAACCTGGGTCCTCTGGAAGAGCAGCAAGTGCTCTTAGCCACTGAGCCATCTCTCTGGCCCCCTGTATGTGATTTTCTTACAGCTTACATTAGGTTTATATCGTTAGTAGTGGCCTCTAGTGAACCTAATGTGCATCACTGTCCAATGATAGAAAATATTAACTCTACTTTTTTTTTTTTCTTTTGGTCTTTTTGAGACAGGGTCTCCCTGTAGCCCCAGCTGGCCTGGAACTCACTGTGTAGACCAGGCTGGTCTTGAACTTACAGAGATCCCCCTACCTCTGCCTCCTAAGTGCTGGGGTTAAAGGTGCACCCGGCCTAATTCTACTTCTTAATGGGAAAATGGAAATAAAGGATTTTTCTTGCCCATAATCAAGGGAAGTCTGAACTTTCTGTTTTGGTGTTCTGGGAAAAATTGGCACCAAAATCCTTGACAAGAGATACAGTTGATACAATGCAATAGTAGCCACCAAGGAATGACTGATTATTCTTGATATCTCGTTGGACTCTTCCATCAAACCATCTACTAGGTCTGACCAGCAAATAAATCCTAACTCCTGGTTGTTTTTGTTAGCCCGAAGAGTGTGGAAAAACTACCTTCCTGCTATCAATGGCATTGTATTTCTTGTGGATTGTGCAGACCATGAAAGGCTGTTAGAATCAAAAGAAGAACTTGATGTAAGTTGAATAATTTAAACATAGTAAAATCCCTCTGATCAGCCTGGAGAAATAGGCACAGCCCTTCCAGTGTCTGATGAAACTCCTGATAATTTGTTGAGTCTCAGAGGTTGCTTAAGTGTGGTTCCTCTACTTAGAATGGAGAGGGAGTAGCTTGCAGGAATTGTAACTACTGAGGATGACCTCCCTGGAGACCAGAGTCTTCCCTCCAGAGTGCCCTTTTGGTTTTGTGCTACATCCTGAAGTGAGTTATGCTTCAGTCCTTCATCCTAGGTGCCATTCCATCAGGAAAGTTTGTAACAGGATGTCTTTGTCACAACTTAAAAGGAGGCAGGTACATGTTTACCTGCCCCTCCTTCCTCTCAGTCAGATATTTCATAAAGAATTTCGGGAGCTAAAGTGATGCAGAAGTAGATCTGGGCCACCAAGTAAGGAGTTCCATGATTTGACTGAAGACTGACCCATCCATGCCTCTGTTCAAAATGTTCTGCGATCCTGGAACAGGGCCAGGTAGTTCCTGACTCTTAGTTTGTGCTAGGTACTGTATTAGTACAGGTCTACTTCACTTATTTCTCAGATCGTCTGTGTAAGGTAGGTGCTACTGTTCCTTGTCCTGAGCTCTGTGAGGCCAGCTTGCCCAAGATCAGGACACAGAAGCAACAAAACTGGAAATGAAAGCAGGTTGCGTGGCTCTGAGGTGCTGGCTCTAGCCACTCTCCTGACTGAGCATCTCCAGAGCCTCAGGGAGACAAAAGAATGGGGTTTATGCACACGCTAAGATGTAGGGAAAGTGTGCTAGGGAGACCTCAGGGGAGAATAAGTCCTTGACTATTTGGTATCTTGATGCTATCATTTGAATCAACCTGTCTTTCGTGTTATTTTGCTTTGTTTCAGTCCCTAATGACAGATGAAACCATTGCAAATGTGCCTATACTGATTCTTGGAAATAAGATTGACAGACCAGAAGCCATCAGTGAAGAGAGGTTACGAGAGATGTTTGGTTTATATGGCCAGACAACAGGAAAGGTACATAAAAAAAAAAAAACAGGTTGTTTGCTCTTTTTTGTTGCTTTTTGTTTGAGACAGGTTACCATGATGGCCTCTCCTGCCTCCCCCTCCCGAGCACTGAGGTCACAGTTGTGTATCACCATGTCCAGCTTTGACAAGTATGAATATTTAATTCTGCATCTTATGCTGCTATTGTCCAGCCACACAGGCTGATGTCAAGGCTGTTCTTTTTTTTTTTTTTTTTTTTTTTTGGTCTTTTTGAGACAGGGTCTCCTTGTAGCCCCAGCTGTCCTGGAACTCACTTGGTAGACCAGGCTGGCTTGAACTCACAGAGATCCACCTGCCTCTGCCTCCCGAGTGCTGGGATTAAAGGTGTGCGCCACTGCGCCCGGTGCTGTTTGTTTTTTTGGACAGGGTCTCCCTCATCCCACCCCCCAAAAGTCACTGTGCGGACCAGGCTGATCTCAGTCTCACAGACAGTTGCCTGCCTCTGCCTCCCAAGGGCTGGGATTACCGATGAGCACCACCACTACCTTCCAAGTTTTTTAAAAAAATATTTATAGGGGCTGGAGAGATGGCTCAGGGGTCAAGAGCACTGACTGCTCTTGCAGAGGACCCGGGTTTAAAAAAAAAATTTATTTATTATTTTTATTTTATGAGTGTGAGTGTATTGCCTGCATGTATGTGAGAGTACCCGTGTCATCCAATGCGGAGGAGGTCAGAAGAGGACTTCGGATTCCCCTGGAACTGGAGTTAAGGACGGTTCGTAGCCACCATGTGGGTGCTGGGAATCGAACCCGAGTCCTCTGCAAGAGCAGTCAGTGCTCTTGACCGCTGAACCGTCTCTCCAGCCCCGATTTCAAAGTTTTAATTATCACAAATTTTCAGAATTAGCCACCAGGGATACGGATATAGCTCCAGTAATAGAGGATGCCTTGGGTTCCTCAGTACCACCATACAACAAAACAAATAACCACCAAATACTCTGTGTGTTTAAGCACACTAGTGCTGTGTTTATGTCCCAGTAGGAGGATTGAAGTTTGGGTTTCTTTTTTCCTTTTTTTCTAAGATGCTCCTGTGGCTGTAGAGATGGCTCAGCAGTAAAGAACACTTGTTACTCTTGCAGAGGACCTGGGTTTGGGTCTCAGCACCCAATCCAGCAGCTCACAACTGCCTATAGCTCTAGTTTTAGGGGGATGTGGCACCTTCTTTGGCTTTCAAACACACATGCAAGCAAAGCAGTCATGCATATAAATCAATCTTAAACTTTTTGTTAGAGACATCATTTTAAATTCTATGTGTGTGTGTCAGTGTGTCTGTCTGTGGATATGTGCATGTGAGGGCAGGTACCCTTGGAGGCCAGAGGAATCAGATCTCACTGGAGCTGGAGCTGTAAGCATTTGTGAACATGGGTACTGGAAACTAAATTGGAATCCTCTGCAAAACAGTATTCCTTCTTAAACTCTGAGCCATCTCCCCAGCACCTCCCTCTTTGTATGTGTGAGTAAAGATAATTTTGGATATTTTTTCTTTTTGGTTTTCTGAGACAGGGTCTCATTGTGTAGCCCAGGCTGGCCTGGAACTTGAGAACTTCCTGCCTCAGACTCCTGAATGCTAGAAATACAGGCCTGTCTGTACCAGCACACTTTGGGCATGGATTATTGAGTTAGATTATTTTTATTCCTGCCAAGCTCCTGAGCTCACCTTTTTCCCCTGACTGATCCTATTGTCCTAAAGAGTGAGAGGAGGAGGCTTCCTCTGTGTTGAGGGGACCTGAATGCTAGGCAGCCGTGGTGGCATGATATTCACCCTTTGTTCTAAGGGAGAATCTATAATCTGCTGGAGAGTAGAACTTGTATGCCAAGAAAATCCAACACAGTATCTCTCTTCTCTCCAGGGCAGTGTGTCCCTGAAGGAACTGAATGCCCGGCCTCTGGAAGTTTTCATGTGCAGTGTGCTGAAAAGGCAAGGTTATGGGGAAGGCTTCCGCTGGGTGGCGCAGTACATTGATTAGCAACGGCGCTTGTCCATTCCCGTCCCGGCCTCCTCGGAGATCCATCGCCCAACATGCATAACTTGAATTCAATAGACTTTTGTTGGTTTCAAAATATGTGCTTTTTAGATTATTAACACTCTACTTAATTTGAGTGAGAATTGAAAAGTGATTCAAGTAAGTTTGAATATCACAATGTTAGCTTTCTAATTCCATACGAATAGTTTTTACAGTTTATAATTACTTGGCATCTCCCCAGCACTGTTTATAAAAAGCGACTTTTCAGCAGTACAGTTGAAGCCCTTTTTAACAATGTGAAACTACAAATATAACCCATATTTAAAAGCTCATCATGTGAAGTTTTTTATGTACTTTTTTGGAACTAGTTTTTAACTTTTAGATGGTGTACCCACCTGTCTTGAGTGTACAGTCAATAATTCCCTTATCAATGATTGCATGAGGCCTTACTGTTTTCAATAATGCTTTTTCTTATGCAAACGTCATGCAATAAAACAAACTAATGTTGGTGTCTTTGCTGGGCCGATGCTTCATTTGAATATGTCTTATATAACTAGTGTACTCTGAAAACTTGAGTATTTAATATTATGTATGAGAAAGTTTGGGGCAAGGAGATTTCCTTCAGAATATTTAGAATGGCACTTCACCCGCAGAGGCTTTTGCATTTGCCCGCAGCAGTTGTAGCTGACTGCTGATACCACAGTTCTCTCTGATACCTCCATTTACTTTACCATCACTTGTGCTGCTGGCATCTGTGTCCTGGCCTCTGTGGGATCCGTGTTCTGGAGAAGGCCCCCCTGAGGCCCACGAGGTTGAGCCCTCAGGCGAGGCGCTGCTGCCCCACGGTAGTTGTCTGATGCTGAGTTTAGTGGCTTGTACTTCCTCACCAAAAGTAGCACCAGGCACTTCTCTCCATGTGAGAGGTGCTCCCTGGCCTTTATGTCCTGCCACTTTCCAGAGCAAGCAACGGGAGTGCGGAGCCCGTGTGCCTGGGAGAGAGGCAGCCTGTCGGGTGGGGGGTCTGTGTCCATTGCTCCTCTGCATTTGGGGCATATGTTATTTCCTGAGAGGAAGAAGTGATGGCTTGTTTCTCCTTGTCTTTGCCTCACTGACCTTCAGCTCAGCTCCTAACACAAAGAGTCTGGGTATGATGCTGCTGAGAGAGTGTTGTCACTAATAAAATCAGAGTTCTGAAAGCAATATCAGCTCCTGAGAAGTTCTTTTCCTCATGTCTCAGACTACTCCCGTCATTAGTAAAAGAAAAACCTAAGTGCCAAAAATGTGGTTTGTTTATTTATTTATCTATTATTTTAAAATTTGAGACACATTCTCACTGTGTAGCCCTGGCACACTTGGAACTTGCTGTGTAGACCAGACTGGCCTCTGTCTCCCAAGTGCTAGAATTAGAGGTTGGCACTACCATGCCTAGCATGGGGACATGGGGACAGATCGGAAAGTTAGATCTTTGCAGGTGGTATCTGAGGTCATCCATCTTTGGCACTCATACAAAGATAAGAGAACAGGAAAGAATGCCTTTCCCTATACTTCAGGAAATTGTCCTCCAGCTTAAAAATGCTATAACTCTGTTCCCTGTTTATTAAGAACGCATTGGGAGGCTGGAGAAATGGCCCAGTAGTTAGGAACACTTACTGCTTTTGTAGAGGAACTGTGTTCAGTTCTAGCACCCAGTTCCAGAGGCTCCAGTGCCCTTTTCTGGCCTCTGTGGAGACCAGGCACACATATAGTGCACTTACATACAGGCAAAATACTCATACACATAAATATTTTTTTTTTGTCTTTTTATTGAGACAGAGTCTCCTTGTAGCCCCAGCTGTCCTGGAACTCACTATGTA